ACTTTTGAGCTTAGTAAATTGCTGCTGAAATTCACTGCCAGCCCTATTGCTCTTGAGTCATTTATTCTCTCTACTTTCTCTTCCCTTTCCTCTAGCTTCCTTCCATTGTAGGAAGGCCTTCTGAGCTGTGAGGTTCCCACACATACTCATTCCACTCAAATACACCAATCATCAATCAATCTCACCCAATTTCCGCTGCATCCACACTGCTGTTTTTCATCCACTGCACCAATACTGTTCTCAATTTTTTTTTGAAGCTCTGTCTGCAAGGCCAGGTCATTTAAGCATGGATAAGTTTCCATCAGTCCGTCTCTGAGTACACCAATAAATTCAAGCATTTAGTACGATTCAACACCATGACTACCAGTGAAGAGTGGCAGTGTCGGAAGTTTGAGAATGGATTGAGGAGCGATCTCAAAGTACTGATTTCAAGCCTTTGTATTAAGTCTTTTCCAACAATGGTGGAGAGAGCCAAAGTATTGGAGAAGAACATTGAAGAAGTGGAACAGCAGAAGAAGCAACAACAGACGGCTAAGGGACCGATCTCGTCCAAAAGCAATATGAATTTAAGCATAAATCCTTACGCTCGTCCTATGCCACCATCTACTTCTAGTGGGTCTCAATCACAACCTTTGGTTGCTGCCAGTCGGTCTGGACAACAAGGGACAGTGACGTGTTTTCAATGTGGAGGACCACACTACCGATCATCATGTCCTAAATTGTTGGGAGGAAGGTTTTACACTCGTTGTAGGAGGAACAGACATCTAGAGCGCGAGTGTAATATGGGAGAACGAGCGGTGATGAGGCCACCAAATGCTGGAAGAAATAAACCAAGGGGTGGTGGCCGAGCACAGGCGGTCGGTCAAGTTTATGCCATAACGGGCGCTGAAGCAGCAAGCTCAGGTACACTCATCACCAACACTTGCTTACTGTATGAACTGCCTTGCTGTGCGTCGTTTTAATTGTTGTGATAAGGAAGTCGTTTGATCTGGTGGTGTAAACACCAGCAATTGAGTTAGTTTGGATATCTAACCTGTGAGATAGATGTTGAACGTTTCGTTATGTAGTACGCTCGTTTTGCTGGCATACAAGAAGGATGAATCAGAGTGGAACATTTGAGAGCATTGCTAGGAATGTTAAGGATAAGAAGAGTTGGGTGTAGAATTGTTCGAAGTGTGAATTACTGGATGAGCAAGGTACAAATACTAGGGTGTGTGTAAGCAATGATAAACTGAGAGTCGGGTTTAGTTGAGAGTTTCCGGAACTTAGTATTATAAGTGAGGATACGAACGTTATTAGGGGCCTCAGTTGAGAGTAAAGAGTGAACCGTTCGGTAGAACCGATAGGAAGTGAGCAACGAAAAGATTTTGAGTTAGAGACGAACGGTCAGACGGATAGGATAATTCAAGAACATGAAGGTCTAGACGTACATACAATTTGAACCGAACAATTTCAAATTCTGAAACTAGATTGTTGAACGTAAGGATAGAAGGGATTGTAGTCAGGCGAGCCGTAATTCTACCTCTAGGACGTACGCGCGCTTTGAATCGATATGGAGTCAGAGATGAAGTCTCGTTTTCTCCAGTGACCAAGAAATTCAGTCTCTGCCTAAACCTAGGATATTAGATACTCTTCCTCAAACCCCTCAACAATTATCTATACTATCTTCCTCCAACAGTAATAAACTTTTCCATTAAATCTTTTTCCCTTGGAAGACTTGTGACTCTTCCTAATAGTAACATTTCTCGTTCGGTATCTATGTTACCGATCGGTCAACCTTCCAAAGCCATTATCTCTTTATTTAAGTGTTATCAACTGGTTCCTTACTTCAGAGTTCTTTAGTAATTTACTCCCTTCCCATAACCATTTAGCCCTTACTCAAACATAACCGTTCATTATAGTTGAAACCGGTCAACATTGAAGATTTGCTAAGGACGCACGTGTGGGCAGAGTCGTTCATCCTAAGGAGCTGTCGCCTAAATTCATTGGACCTTACCAAATTTTGAGACGCATTTGGGCCGGTCGCGTACGAGATATCATTGCCTCCTCAATTAGCTGATCTTCATCTACTCTTCCACGTATCTCAACTCCGGAAGTATATTGGAGACTCGTCTCATGTGCTAGAGCTAAAAGATGTTTGTATTCATGGAGACCGAACGTTAGAGATGCAACCAGTTCGTATTGAAGACAGTCACACCAAGTATTACAAGAGGAAAGCCATGAGATTGGTGAGAGTAATCTAGGACGAGAAGACTGACGACATTACATGGGAAGTGGAAGATGCAATCAAGGACTTGTACCCTCGTTTATTCTCTAGTATGTCTTAATTTTTGAGGATGAAAATTTTTGTAGTTAGGGGGAATGTCAGAACCAGTAAAATCCAAGCACGTGTCGTTAGTGGAATTCACGTGTCAAGAGAGAGGCTCGACACTCAGATGACGAACGCCAGGTGTCAAGCGAAGGAGACCCGGAAATCAATCAGTGCAAAGCAGGTGTCGACAGATGAGGGGACGTCCGTTTTGAAGTGTGAAGTAAAACTTGGATTTTCAGAAAAACCGACCTCACTCTCTGCATGCACTCTCTTTTCGAAATTTCTGAAGAACCCCATTCTCTCCTCCTTCTCTCTAGATCCTCTTCATCTTCTCTTAGAGAAAACACTCACTTTCTCTTCTCCGATCACTATTCCGGCACCATAGAAGCACTTCCGACGTCAAGAGCTTCCAGATAAACCATTCGGTTTGTGAAGCTGGGCTGGTAAGTCCTTCTCTTCGCTCTGTCGTTCGTTTTCCTAAACATGCAAATCCAGTTCTGGGTTCGTGTGTTAATCACCATTCTTAAAATGAGTGGTTCTGATAGTGTCGGGTTGTCACTTGGTGTAGTTGGAATTGTCGAGCGTTGACGGTAGAAGAACCTGTAGTGGTGAAATTTTATTTCTGCGTCTGGGAACGTTCGGTCACGCTCAGAGGTAAGGGAAGCTTATTTAATTTAATATGTATGCTACTGTACTATATGATCATTCGTTAGTTAACTGAATGACTTTGATGCATGATGATTGATATGATTGGATTGCATGAACATTCGTTTGTTTAATGAATGGAAATGAAATATGGTTGAGTTATGTTTTAATGCATGAAAGATATGAACCTTATATGATATGGATTTTATGAAGTATGAAAGTTGATTATGATATGAATGTATAAAGATATGAAACTATATGTTAAGAAATGAGACAAATATAAATGAATTTTGAATATGAAATTTCTAATATGAAAGTGTATGTTCGTTACTGAATGGTCATTGACCGTTCGGTTCTTCTGGTAAACATAGTTGAAATGGGATTCTTTCATTTGGAGAGAATCCTAGTTGAGGACGAGCGTCCTCGTGTGGTAATACTATACTTGAGCGTTCGGCCAAGCACAATTGTATCTGAGTATCCTGTGATAACTTAAATTTATATATATATATATATATGTAATGGTATATTTTCGTTGTTCGTAAACACTACTTCAATAGTATCTGACTATATTTATCAAGTCTTTTATTATAAGTTCATTAGTGCTCGGTCTTACACCAAGCGCTCGTACTGAGT